AAGGAAACAGAAGTCAACGGGCCAGTGGGACTATATCGGTGGCTCTTAGGAAGGCTTTGATTGGGAAGCAGGGCTGAGTCCACATGGGAGTAACCATGGCAGGCAAATACACTGCTCTTTAATATCCTGGAAGTCTTTGCTCAACACGTACAAGAGGACTTTACAAAGTTTATTAAAAAGTAGGGATAAGGCCAGCAGATGGCATGAAGGTTGAAATGGTTGGATCCCACATGGCTGGCTAAGTGGTTTGAGTCCTGTATCCCGTGGCTTGAAAAAAACACTGGGCGCGTGTGTGTACATGCCCAAAATCCAGGGAGGAGAATGGAAGAGAAGGTGTTGTGGTGTGGCTAACCTTCCCTGGGAGGTAATTTCTTACTTTCCTTTTATCTCTCTGTTTCTTTGTCTGTTTCTGAGTGATGTGCCCTATAGCAAAAAATTTTAATGTATATTTAATATACATATATATTATATATAATTAAAATGTATTATATATTTAAAATGTGTATGTGCATATATGTTTGTGTATGTGTGTGTATATATAGGTATATATGATATAATGAGTTTATTTCAATGCAAACAAATTTTGAAATTTGTGTATAATCTTTCATAATATACATTTTCCTTGAGTTTTTTGAAGACCCCTCATTTAGAACCAAGGCTGAGCTTTGTCTGTAGTGGTGTGTTTGAGAGCCTAAGACAGTTGTATCTCCCACTGACCCCCAGGGAGTGTTCAGCTAGCCTGGCTTGCCAAGTGGGTGTCCCTCCCCCGCCATTCTTTTGGGACTCACTAAAGGGAGAAAAGACAAGGCTTTTATCAAAAGCATATGATGTAATTCCTCCCAGGCTTGTTACACTGGTGCAAAAGGACAGTTTCCAAATTCTTTTGTACACGCTAAGTGCCATGTGAACATAGAGCTGATTATTATTTTTGATCTAAAATATGAAGTGAGGGATTAAACTGTGGGTTGGCTTTTCCCACAACAGCCCTTTCTCATTCAAGCATAAGCTGGCACATAACAGGTGTTCAATAGAAGTATGAATGCAAGAATTGATTGCATTTAAATGACTATGTTTTACTCTCCATAGTAGAGAATGGATGACTCAAGACATATTTTTTCGTTAACTTATATAAACACAGAACAAGGTTCGCTATTGACTGAATTCCGGGTGAACATAGGAGACTGAAAAACATTCTTGCATGCCAGGTTAACTCAATTTGACTATCCTGACTGTTTTTTTCTTTTTTTAAAACAGGGTGGAAAAGAAGACTCAACATTTATAAATATCAATAAGAAATCCGGGCTTCAGGACGCTAATGTAAGGTCTGTTGCTTCTTGTTTGAATGGGAAAATGATAATCTCTGTATCATCAACATTATCCTTGAAACTGCTCATCAGGGCATTTGCTGATAAAATCAGGGAGGAAAAATTAAACCGAGAAAGTGAGCCCAGAGAGATAGAAAAAGCCTGCTTGAGCAGCATCCTTTAAGTCTTAGAAATACTGTGTATTAGTTTTAATATTGCTACCAATAATAATAATAATTTTAAAATAATTATTTAATTTTACTTATTCATTCATTTATTTTAATTTGACCAGAGAGAGAGACACACACAGAGAAAGAGAGAAGAAAAGTGAGAAAGCAAGTCATCAGGTCTGGGACTCAAACCATGGTTGGCCATGTGGGAGTGTCTAGCACCTTAACCACCATGTCACCTACCAGCCCCCAATAATATAGTTTTTTGTTTGTTTGGTTTTTGCTTTTTTTTTTTTTTTTTTTTTTGAGAGATTTTCGCTATAGGGCACGTGCACTCGCCAGACAGAGAGACAGAGAGACAGAAAGCAAGAAACCACCTCCAGGGAGAATGGCCACGCCACAGTCCCTTCTCCTCCATTCTCCTCTCGGGATCTTGGGCACGCACGCACACGCACCTGGCATGAGTTTTAAGCCACCAGGTCTGGGACACGAACCACGGTCAGCTACGTGGGAGTCCAGCGACATAGCCATTACGCTAACTGCTGGTTCCCCCAGAGCTTTTTCTTAGGATCACTTTTTTGTGTAGGGTCCATTGGTGATCTTGAATAAATTTTGGAGGAAAGGTAAAAATGAGACATAATTTTTAACATTTTCATATGTATATAGGATAAAAATATTTTAGAGGATGTCCTAATGGTCTTATGTTTCTGCATTTTTCACATAAAATATACTATGATTTTTTTTTTTTGGAGAGTTTTTTGCTATAGGGCACATGCATTCACCAGAAAGACAGAGAGAGACAGAGAGACAGAAAGCAAGAAATCACCCCCCAGGGGGGCATGCCATGCCTCAATGTCTTCTCCTCCATTCTCCTCTCGGGATCTTGGGCATGCATGCACACACACCCAGCATGAGTTTAAGTCACTGGGTCCAGGACTTGAACTGTGGTCGACTACATGGGAGTCCAGCAACATAGCCATTACACCAACTGCTGGTCCCACTATGGTTCTTTATCTGTTGGTAAAAAAAAAAAAAAAAAATTATTTGCTATGCTTAAGATAGCATAACTACCAAACCACTTGGAAATAAAAATGAGTTATCCATAGGTTTTTCTTCATTTTCCTGGTAAAACCTGGTTCAAACCATACCCTCATGTTGGGAGTTGAGTGGATATGTGGCTGGGGCAGGGACGTTTTATTTGGTGCCCCAATTATATTTAGTTCCCCATTTACTGTATTTTTCCTTATGATTTTGTTTTGTTTTTGAGCATCTTAAGATTTTTTTTACATCATTATAATTACTAAGTAAGTAGAATAGAGAGGTGAAAAGATGGATTTCTTGATTATGAATGTAACTGAAAAATTAATTGAGAAAGCTATTGCCAAAACAAGATCATAAACCTTTGTTGTTGGTGTTGTTCTGTTTGTGTGTGTGTGTGTGTGTGTGTCTCTAGAAGTCCTATTCCCATACGTGTGGAAACTACCCAACCAGCTGTGGAAAAGCCGGAAATCAAGCCTCCCCGAGTGAGGAAGTTAACAAGACAGTATAGTTTGTGAGTTCTGCACTGCAAGTTGTTCAGTGAATTACAATATGATAATACTAAATGTTTGCATTTTAATGAATATAATGTTTTTTATAGATGCTTTTTAGCCCTTCACACCATTTCCAGAGAACCATCCCCCAAATTCATTTATTTCTAATTTGAGATATAATGGGACTAGACCTTTCTCCCTGAAAACATTAGAGTTGGCATCTGTACTCATTATTGATTTCTGTGTAAGAAATTACACTAAAACTGAGTGTTGTAAAATATTCTGCATTTATCATCTCACCATTTCTGTGGGTTGGGAGTTTGGATGTGGAATAGTGGGGACTTCTAAGTTGGGATCCCTTGTGAGGCTGCATTCCACGTGTCAACAAGGACTGTGGTCTCATCTGAAGGCTCAGACATGCAGTTGGTGACAGGATTCCAGGGCCATTGCATGAAGGCTGCCTTCAGTTTGTCGTCACATGGGCCTCTCCAGCTTTCTTTATCATAAAGGATCTCAAGAGAATGCTAGCGAGGTAAAAATCAGAACCTACTTATGAAAGTGACTTCCCAATCCTTTACCATATTCTCTTCACTAGAAGCAAGTCACTAGACCCAGCCCACACTCAAGGGAAGACATTACATGGGAGCATGAACACGAGGGCAGGAATCATTGGGTCATTGGGTGTCATATTAGAAGCTTTCTTTTCCAGCATCTTAGTAAAATGGTAACAGAGTCTGTCAAAAGAGCCAAAGTTAGTTATGTAGCTATCTGTGAGCCCTGTGGAAGGAGCTATATCCCCAAATGTCCCAGGACCCCTATGGCCCACCCAGTTCTATTGGGCTTGACAAGTCTGAGCTGTAGTATATACTGGACTGTTCTAGGCATTGTCAGGGAATAACAAAGTGACTTTGACAGGACCCATCCAAAGACTCACAATTTAGTGGAGGGGAAAGATAAGAGTCACGAATAATTATAATCCAAGAAGACAGGTGAATGCTGTAGGAAGGGTGGCGTGGTGGTGGGGGTGGTTGTCATACTGATCACGATGGCGGTTTCCGTTTTTTGACCATGGTTATCCACTGCGCCTGGATGTATAACTTGTCAGAGATCACAAGAAACTCTCAGGACACAATGGAAAGGCTTCTGGTAGAACCCTGTCTGGTTAGATTCTTGGGAAAATTACTCTGAGCGTCTTTTTCTTCTTTGGCAAAATAGGTGACATAATGCCTACTTCCTGGGAATTTCCGAGGGTTAACATAAGACAGTTTAGGTAAAGCCCCTCCACAGAAGGTCATAGGATGAGTTCTACTCCCTTCCTTTTCTAAAATTTGGAAGCTTCTGAGGAAAGGCCAAGTTTAGGGGGTCCCAGATACAGAGTGTAGAACAGGGAGTATAATTCTGATGCAATCGTCAAACAGCCATCCCAGACCCACCATGTACACCTTATGAAAAGAGGAAGCGACATCACATCCACTGCATTAGTCTCAGTAGACACTTCTGGACAGTAGAGCAGCTTTTTCTAGGAAAGCCAAAATGAGTGAGGTTCAAATGATTAACAGTCCTAATGATCTCTGGGGTACAAATTAAACCAATGAAAACCTGATTCCCCGAGGATAAAGCTGACAGAACTTGCCTTTCCTTGTACATTTTGAAACTCAAAATGTTATCATCGCTCATTTGGAATATGGAAATATGTGTGGAACAATGACAGACTGATATATGGCCTAGAAGAAAAAAAAATTCACTAACTCACCAAATTAGTTATTTTAAGGAAAACTTTTCAAACCTCTAACTTTACATATATGTATATATATTTAGAGGTTTTTGCTATAGGGCGCGTGCACTCGCCATAAAGACAGAGAAAGAGAGATAGAAAGTGAGAAATCACCCCCCGGGGGGGGGGGTGGCCACGCTGCAATCCCTTCTCCTCCATTCTCCTCTCAGGATCTTGGGCACGCACATGTGCCTGGCGTGAGTTTAAGCCACCAGGTCCGGGACTTGACCCACGGTCGACTACATGGGAGTCCTGTGACATAGCCATTACGCTAACTGCTGGTCCCAACATGTATATATTTTTTAACTCACCCAGAATATTTAGCTTTGAAAACCAAAGAGTGGTAGTATCGCCCTACTGGTAAAAAGTTGCAAAATTAATGGATGGTATTTTCCTAGTGTTAAGTTTTTGTCCCCAAATAGTTCTAGAACCCTTGACACTGATTATCACTCCTTTGCTCATCTCTGACTCATAGATATAAAGCTAATAAACAAATGCTCAAGAAAACATGAAAACTCCAATTTCTGGTTTTCTGGAAATAATTTCTGCATTATTATTTTTTAAATGTGATGCACACACCCAGCCCTCTTAGTGTTATCATATTTGCATAGAAAAATACGTCATGACTTTTCTGATGACCCAATAATTCCCAGGCTGGAATTACCTGCATTCAGATTTTAGGTGTGGCTCCACCCCCAAGAGCATCATAACATTCAGGGCCTTGGAACCAGTCTTTGAACCACTGTGTTTAAGGATATAAACAGAAACCTCAGCCACATTCTTTCCTGGACATGGGAAAAGAATGAAAAGTGTGACTTCTGCAGCAGGAGAAAGGCAAGCCAAAGGAACTCTGCAAAGAGTTAGAGGCAGGTAATAATGTCTATTTTTTTTTTTTGAGAGGTTTTTGCTATAGGACACGTGTGTTTGCCAGAAAGACAGAGACAGAGAGACAGAAAGCGATAAATCACCCCCCTCTAGGGATGATGGCCATGCTGCAATCCCTTCTCTTTAATTCTCCTCTTGGGATCTTGGGCACACGCGGCGGGCCTGAGTTAAAGCCACAGGGTCTGGTACTCCAACCACAGTCGACTGCATGGGAGTTCAGTGACATAGCCACCTTCACCACCATGCCACCTGCTGGCCCCAACATGTTATGTCTTAATCATTTTTTCACTTGAGATACTCATTAAAACTTCTCTTTCGCTCTTTTTCATAACTCTTCCTTTTGAAGCTTCTCCAAACACAGAAGGATCTAAAATCCTCCAGGGCCCTCCTCAGTCAGTCGCCTCTGTACTGCTGCTGTGTCCGCCTGGCCACTTTTCCAGGATTCCCATGATTCGCCATCATTAGCGACCCTGCATAGGCCACATTCGTGCCGACCAATCACTGGTCTTTTATCCATTCTCTTTAGTTGTTTCTAAAACAACGCCTATGCCAGAGTGGCTCCAAAAGTCCCACATAGGAGATCTTTAGGGACAGTGTGCCGGAGGTCCCCAAGACCACCCTCAAGGGTGATGATTCACTAAAAGGATTCATGAAAGTCAGAAGAAAGTTATATACATGGTAATGGTTTATTACAACAACAGCATATAGCCTAAGACTAACGAACAACAAAGGCACCTAGGTAGAGCCCAGGAAGACCAGATGTGAGCTTCTGTTGTCCTCTCCCTGTGGAGTCACATCACAGTGATTCATTCGCCCAGCAACTGTGCGTGACAACATGTACTATATAAACCAACCAGGAAGCTCATGGGAGCACTTTACCTTAGCGTCCATGGTTTTTACTAGGGGTCAATCACATGGGGTGAAACACCGACACAATTGACCTAACTACTCGGGCTCCAGCTTCCCCAGAATTCAAATGGATATAATATGACCCAAAACCATAAGCCTGCAAAAACATGTATTTCACTATAAACCACACTGATAGCCTAAATCATCTGGCATGGCCCAAGGTCTCAGGAATACAGGTACTCTTTAAAAAAATGAACTATCTATTCAATTTCTATTTATTATTGTTATTTTTTAATCTGTTCATTTCTTACATGTGCTCACTAGAGTCAGAGACAAGGACAGAGAAGGGAAGTGAGAGAGTAAGTTAACAGGTTTGGGACTTGAACCATAGTCGGCCATGTGGAAGTCCAATACTTTAACCACAACACCACCTAGTGGCCCCTAAAGATACTCTAACCAGACAGAATATTCCAAGTGCCCAGAAGTTCTCTCCCAGGAGCTTATCCATTCAGTGGTTCCTTTGGAATCTTCAAGGTTTGAAGACCCTTGGCCTGCTGAGTTAACCCTTTACTGCACAGGCAACTGAGGGACAGGAGACTTATCTCAATCCCTGTAAGTTTGAGAAAATGCTGTCCATACTAAGAATGGGAAATCAATGACACTGCTTTAGTATGCCAGGAGGACCGGGTTGGAAGGAACAAAGCCTTCCCCCTAGTTCCCATCCCTGCAGATAAGCCCAAGGTATCAGGTTAGACTTCTCCTCCCTCATGGTGACTTCTTGTGTAATATCCCTTCCTGCCTGCATCGTCTTATCCTATCAGAGAGGTTCTAAGACCACAGATCCTTTGCCACAAACCAATTTACCTGGCTTTTCCCCTGTAACCAGTTTATCACACCAAAGAGGCTGTTGCTGAAAGGCCAAAATAACTCCATTAGACCTTTTGCTCAGAACAGCAGGTTCCTACATTTACCTGCCTAGGAGAATCTACTGAAAATAATATTCCGTGATTTGATGGTTTCTCAAAAAGTGAAACATGTGACCCAGGAATTCCACTCTGGTAGAATTCCAATCTGAAAGAGTTGAAAGCAGAGAGTCAAACAGATTTTTGTGCACCAATGTTCATGGCCTCAGTATTCATAGTGGCCAGAAGGTGGAAACATCCCAAGTGTCCATCAGCAGATGAATGGATAAACAGAATTCCAAAAACAAGGAAAACATCATAGGGTATGAAATAAAACAGACATAGAAGGACGGACATCGTTTAATTCTACTTACATGGCATACTTAGAAAGGGTAATTCATCCCAGACAGAAAATAGAACAGATGTTAGCAGATGTGAGGAAGGGACGATGGGAGATTATTGCTCAACCACAATACAGAGTTTCCATGGTGTGGGCGGGTAAAAGTTTGGGCATGGACAGTGGCGATGCATGTACTTAATGTCACTGAAGTGTATTCTTACAAATGGCTATGAGGATAAATATCATGTGTATTTTATGACAGTTAAACATTTTTTGTCAGAGGGCATCTGTGCTTACTAAAGAGAAAAGAGGAAGGAGGAGAGAGTATCCCCAATGGGGAGTAGTCTTGCCACCATCCCTTCTCCATCTCTTTATCCTTTTGGGATTTTGGGCACCCATGCACACGCATCTGGTATGTTTCTCGAGCTGCAGGGACTGGAATTCAAAACAAGCAGTTGGCCTCATGGTATCTAGCTCCCTTAACAGCCAGGCCATGGGGCCAACCCATGCCGCAATTTTAAAAAAGAAAAAGAAAAACCTAATCCAAATTTGCTTTGGCAATACAAGCCAATGTATTGAATCCTGTATTGTCGTATAAACCGGACATTTGGTGGACATCTGTGTGGGGAGCTCCCAACCCCTCCCCTTGCCTGTCCACTCCGCCCCACCCCCCTCCCACCCCTCACAGCCTGTTTATTATTGTAATGAGCAGAGCTTCATGTGCTTTTAGTAACCGCAGTGATGAAGATGACCTCCCTCCAGACCTGGCCGAGGCAGTAGGAGTGACCACAGCTTCAACCACGAACACCACTTCTGCCGCCACACAAGTCTCAGTGCCACTGGCATCCCCTAAGGTCCAGAAAATCAGCTCACCTCAGAAGTCAGATGGCAAGGGCCAGCTGTCCCCAGGGGCCAAGGTATGGGAACATGCACTGGGAAGCAGCTGCCCTCTGTGGAAATCTAGCGAGTGGTGCCTGAGCTGTGCATTGCAGTTTGCATAATCGGTGGTGTGCTCTTATCACCCAGCAGCAATAGCCACCAGCGTATGTTTTTATATACCCTGCCACCCAGTCTAAGCCCACCATTGGTGAGAGACAGCAGTATCAATCTGTATCCATTGTGCTTTAAGGGCACCGTAAGAGGGTTCTGAGGGCAATTTTGTTGTGAATATTATCCCCATAGAAGCTTTCCCTCCACTATAAAGATAGAAAGTGAAAACCATTTCCTCCCCTTAATGGACAATTTAGAAGAGTAGAAACACGGACGTGTCTCTACAACTCTCGTTCCTTCTGTCGGATAGCCTGTGTTCATAGTTTGAAAATGGGAAATAGTATTCTATTTCCAGTTTGAAATTTCAGAAAATTCCCGGAGGTGTAAATGAGCTATGACAAAAGCCTAACACGAGCTATTTCTCCTGTTTTATTTATTTATTTTTCTCTCTCTCTCTTTTTTGAGTGACTTTTAGCTATGGTCACACTTTGCCAATTAGTCCAAATACACTTGAGCCTGTGCTACCCGAGTGAACGTCATCTAAGATTTCTTTGGTCCGTGCCACCATACCAAGAAAAGATGTGTACAAGGGCCAGATGCCCTGCAGGCAAGCCCAGAGTTCCAGTGTCTAATCCCAGCTCCTTTCACAAAAAAAGTCGTCACTTTCCCAGCCCTGTTTCTCCAAGCCTCAATGTTCTCTTGCTAAAAATGGGCTAAGAGCTCCGACCTTGCCCAACTCACAGGGTGGCCTCAGGTCCAGTGGGGGTTCAAGTGTTTGTGCGAACTGGGTGCCAAGACTCCTGCAGCTTCGGGGCCATGACTCCTGGTTACAACTAAGTAATGAAGGCCCACCTCCTGCATGACCAAGGCCAGTCTTTCCCTGGGCCCCTTTCCCAGTTGTCCCCTTTCCTGGTTGGAACAACCTCTGTGTTCCTCACAGGAAGCTGGCTAGGCCCCTTGGCCAGTGACTAGCCCAGGTTGAGGCTGTCTGTTTTTCTGTAGATCATCTCCTGGCATGTCAGGCAAAGTTGCCCACCCCTGTAGAGGGTCCCTCCCATCTAGTTTTGTCACACGTGTGGACACAGGCTTCTGTCATAGTTCCCAGCCTGTAGTTAAAACCAGCTGAAACATTTCCAAAATAAAAGAGTTCTGTGGGGAACACGAGCAATGCCCTATCCAAGGCCACAGAGCTCCCTCTCCTGGCCATCAGTCTCTCTAGGGCCTACCTACTGCCAAGTCGATGGCCTCTTCTATTTTCTCCCCCTAGAGGCCTCCAGGCCACTCATGCAGCTGAGACTCCAGAGCAGGAAGACCAGATGTTTCCCTAAAGCAACCACCATAGTTTTCTTTTCTTTCCTTTTTATTAATTAATTAATTAATTTATTAGGTTTTTACCATGGAGTGCTTGTGCTCACCAGAGAGAGACAGAGAGAGAGAAAGCAAGAAATCACCCTGCAGGGGAGATGGCCACACTGTAATCCCTTCTCTATTCTCCTCTCAGGATTTTGGATGTGCACACACACACCTGGCGTGACTTTCAAGTCGTCAGGTCCAGGAATTGAGACCACGTGGGAGTCCAGCACCCCAGACACCACACACTGCTGGCCCCAGGACATAATTTTCTAAGTGTCGCCCACCCACCATGAAGAACTTGCCTTTTACTGTGCAAATCAGTTTATCTGCTGGAGGCCAGTGGCTCCTCAGCATCCAGGACATTCTTTGCCTTTTCTTTAGTGTTCAGAGGACTCTTTAAAGTGCTGGGCTTTCCCCCCAGAAGACCAGTGAAAGAGCATTCAAAGCACTTAAGAAATGTTTGCTGCTTTGAAAAGGACAGTTATCCCCCTATACCCTGCTGCTCCGTATGAAGTTTTCAGGACAAGTTAGGGTTCCGTTCAAATATTTTGTGTACTGCTGAGCAAGGGAAATGGGGGGTTGGCTTACTGATGAGTTCCGTGTTGGGAAAGGGGCAGAGGAGAGGTGGGGAACCTGCGTGGTTCTTGGTGAATTCTGTTGTCAACCCAGAGCTGTCACTAACCAGGGACATTTCTGTTGGAACTTCGCAGAGCCCCTCTGACCGAGGAGGTGCCTTCACCTTGGAGCCAGGCGATCTTCTGATGGACTTCACAGAAGCCACTCCTCTGGTAACCTTCCTATTTTGCTAAACCCGAAAAGCCATTAGCCATAGAAACCTCTTGGCAGTGGGACAGTGGACAGAGGTGGGCACTGCTGTGGGGAGGCTCTTCCTCCTGTCTTGGAGGCTCGGGAGCCAGCTTTCCTCGAGGGTCAGGCACCATGGGTCCCTCCACCTCCCAGAACGCTGGAGGGACGGGTGCTCTCTTTTCTCAGGGTAGCCACAGGGGGCCTGCCCCTGCCTGTCTGCTGCTCCCCAAGTGCTGAAGGGCTCCTGGTGCTTGGGTCTTGGCTTCCTGGCTTCCTGGGCTGCCCCCCCATGCCCACCCATGGAGTCTCTGGCTATTGCTTCCAACAAGCTGTCTGGTCTGAAGCACTGGCTCCAGGCCACACCCGGCTTTCAGCCCCATGCCCCTCCTGCCATCATCCATCCTCTGCTCACAGGTTCCCCGAAGGGATGAGGCCCTGTGGGCTGCTCGCAGGTGAGAAACTCTTTTTAGAGATGGAGCATTGAACCAGGAGTCTCGCAGGCCGGATGGGGTGCAGTTTCTGCTCCCTCTTTGAAGAGCCTTATCATTGGCTAGTCAACTGTCCCATCTTCTACAAAATAAGGATGTTATTCTTTGCTCTGTCTGCCTCACAGGAGTGTTATAAAGGGTCACATAAAAGAGAGAGAGGAAGAGAGAGAGCCCTTTGAGAATAAAACGCACCACAAATATGTACAAAGTATTGTTAGTAAGTATTAATTAGGGTTGATACAGGCAAATCTTGCTATATCTTTGATGATACCTGAGAACTTGAGCGTAAGTCACAGGCTGTAAGGTTGAGCTGTGAGTCGAAATGAAAGCCAGTCGAAACTCTCTCCTGAGTGTTCGCAAAGTGTCTGGCTATGTGCTAGGCCCATGGGCAGAGCCAGCGGCTAGAGGCTGGAGTGAAAGTCAGGTTGATAAATGGCCAAGAACAACATGAGCGCTTCGGCGAAGAGGCTCAGGAGAAGCCAGGCGTGGGAGTCACTCAGGGCCGACTTGCTGGAGTAGGAGTGTGTGGGTGGGAAGGATTTCTGGAAGGCTTTCAAGAGAGGACAAATGAGGCTAAATGCTATCTAAGTGTCACCGTTCCTGGTCTGCTGGCATAAGGAAATGGTGTACCACTGTCCTTTTCACCTGGAGAGTTGGTACAGCCCGAATGCTTCGAGCCAGAGCCTCTGACTAAACTGCTGGGAACTGGCCGAGGGTAACCTGTGCTCCAGGAACCATCAGTTTCATCTTTCCTGTGTTCAAGTAGACATAGTGGGGCTGCTCATGGCCTTCTTGCTAGACGAGCTGCCAAGACTGTTCTCAGGTGGAAGAGCCCTTCTCCCCTGCCTTTTAGATAAGGTAACCCCGAAACAGAGGACCTTCAGCATCAGCTCTCAGTCCTTGCATAGGTGGGGAAACTGAGTCTCAGAGGGAGTCTTCCTTCACACAGGGACTGAGCTGGGGCTAGACTCAGGTGTCCTGGCTCCTGTTCTGGTGCTCTGCTCATCAGTGTGCCAAATTACCTCCCTTTCAGGAACTTGTCACTTTGCAGAAAGCATTGCCAAGAAGAAGGGCTACGTTTGAAGCACTCCCTGAACTGGCAAAGTAGAACAGGGGGCAGGGAGGAAGGCACAGGAAGTTAAGAGGCCTGGGCCAGGTGCTCTCTCAGTATCCCAGTTGAGGCATCAAGCCAGGAAGCCTTGTTGTGGGAGGTACAGGCTGAACTGAACCTGAAGACATCCAGGCTACCTGGAGGGCACCACTGCCCAGAGAGAGCTGTGAACCCCTAGGATGTAACCTGAGGGCCTGTGAAGGCAAAAGGGGGAGAAAGCTATGTCCCAAGACCACAGGGAGGAAAAGATGCCTGGCAGAGACAGACCCGGCAGGAGATATCATCTCTCTGAGTTAGGCTCATGGGCAACCTTCAGACTGCTAAAATATGCTGCCACAAATGCCATAAGAGGGTCTATTTAAACTGCTATTGCTGGGGCCAGCAGTTAGCATAATGGCTATGTCACTGGACTCCCATGTAGTTGACCGTGGTTATAGTCCTGGACCCAGTTGCTTAAAGTCACGCCGGGCACGTGTGCGTGCATGCCCAAGATCCCAAGAGGAGAATGGAAGAGAAGGGATTGCGGTATGGCCATCCCCCCTGGGGGTGATTTCTCGCTTTCTGTCTCTCTGTCTCTCTCTGTCTTTCTGGCGAGCGCATGTGCCCTATAGCAAAAACCTCTCCAAAAATAAATAAATAAATTAAATAAACTGCTATTGCTGTGGGGTCCATTGTCTAACCCTATCTGGGAGTATGGGAGAAAGGAAGGCCAGTGTGCTAGAGTTTTAAAGCATGAATAGGAGTTTGCTGCATGAAAAAGTAGACCAAGGCACTCTACACAGAAAGCACAACATAAGCAAACTACTAAGTTTTTATGTATGGGCTTGGTAGATCTGAGAACCGAGATCAGTCTACAAAATACACATTGTGTCTGACAGGAGTGGTGGGACTTTGTTTATTTATTTAATTTGACCCGAGAAGGACAGAGCGAGAGCGTGAAGAGAGGAAAATGAGAAAGCAAGCCACCAGGTCCGGGACTTGAACCGTGGCTGGCCATGTGGGAGTCCAGCGCCCCTAACCACCTTGCTGGCCCCCAGAGTGATGGGATTTCTTTAGAAGCCAGTGTGTTACAGACCCAGTTTGTAGATTTACTTACTCATAGATTTATATAGCCTTTTCTTTGTTTGAACACAACAGATTGAATTCAGGAAGGAAGTAGCATCTGATGGGGACTCAGAAGTCCCCTGACCCGAGGTGCAAATGCCTGCAAGTGGCAATGCAGCCTCTCCTTGCAGCCCTTCCTTCTCTGTCTCCAGAGAAGGAAGTTTCTATCTCTGGGCAGCTGCTACTTAGCTCTGGAACAGGATTCACAGTGCCACCGTGCCCAGGCACAGGACAGCTGCAGTCCTGTACCGCGCGGAGACACAGTCACCCACTTCACAGCTGAGGTTTGCGGAATGTGTGTTCTCAGGATGAGGCATCCTTTGTCTTGAGACGTGCGGGGATGCACACTGGGAAGGTTTGCCGGAGGCCTGGCATTTTGGCAAGAGCCTATGCCACTGTGCACTTCCCTTGCAGCATTGGCTGTGACCTTACTTTGCTCCAGAACCCTGTGTCCATGCGTGCCACAGAGTCTCAGTGACAAAATGCGGACTGCACAATTTGCTTGTCCTTTCGTCCGGTCCTCACCTCCTCCTCCCAGCATCATAGTAATGCAAGTGGCAATAGGGGTGGTTGTCTGTGACTAGGAGAATAGCTGAAGAGAGAGGGGATGTCAGGGTTGCACTGGGACGCTTGCTCCTCCTCAGGACCTGCTTGTCCCTGTGTATCAGGAACAGGGTCTGCCTCTGCAGGTCCGTGTCCTGCACAAGGCCTGCAGAAGCACAGGAAGGGGCGAGCCAAACCAGAGGGCAACAAGGGCAGTTCCCTGTCTGTCTGTGAGACTTCCTCAACTACCATGACCAGCTGGAGCAGGGCCTTGGGACCAGTGCACTCAGTCCCTCACGTGCAGATGGGAAAGGCACACTGGGGCAGGCGTTGTGCCCACATAGCCAGTCTGTGTCAGGCCAGGACTAGAACCCAGGCCCCAGAATGCTGTCTGGCACTTTTCCCAGTGGCAGAGGGCCCAAGCTGGGATGTGTCCCTCTTTCCTCATTAGCTGGTTCCTCGCCCATGAGGTTGATCGGGTCCCCTGGCCTTAGCACTACACCCTCCAGCCCAGCTCCAGGACCATCTCCAAGCCAGCACCCCAGGGGTGGTCCCCAAGTCCCCACGTGGGATGTACTTAGGTATCTTGGTCTAGGAGGCTCAGCCTGGGTGAGGGAGTGCCTTTTGCTCCTGCAGCTCTCTCTGGGCCTTCCTGTCAGCCTTGCTCTTCAGGAGGGTTTTTTTTCAAACATCCTGGATGATACCCTTCACACAAGCGATCGCTGTCCTTCCTGAATCCTTTTTCTGTGTAGTCATCTCTAAGCTCACAGCCCATGCCTAGCCCCCTCCCTCCTATTGGTTGAGACTCCTTCCTCAGTAATACCCTAGTTTCTCTGACCACTGCTGGGAGGACAGAGAACCGGAGAGAGAGGAGTAGACCCTTGATTTTCTTGCCTTCATCCAGCAATGTTCTGCCGAGACACTCTTAGAACTGGTGTCACCCTCCTTAATCTCCTTAAGCCCCTGTGGTCTCGTCTCTGTGTGGACAAGAGGCACAATCCAAAGGGCCAAGAATAATAAAAATATCCATTTTTGAACTGGCATCTCTCAAAAACACATGAAAGGAGATTAGATGAACCCCTTCTGCTCCATATCTGGAATATCATTTTGCCTCCTTCTTCATTCTCTTGCATCCTGCACAACTCCAAGGACTTCATTCTCGAACTCTCCAGAGAATCTCTTTCCCATTTAATTCTTGCAGTGTTTCCCTCTCCTTCTCCTGATCCTTTTCTTCTTGAATCCACAACTCTTTCATTAGGTAGTTCAGTTGAGCAATCAAACCTCACAATCCTCGCAACTTGATGTCTGCCCCTTCCCTAATTCTGTGCCACAGAATTCGTAATGAGATGTGAGTTTCTGCCTGGGATGGAAGATGTAGGGCAAGAGAATGGAGGGGATGAAGGCAAGCGAGTGAAGAAAGACCTGCTCTCCATCGGGTGTTCTCTCCTGGGGTGTGCGTGTGAGCACGTGCGTGAGGGCGTAGGTGTTGATCGAGTGAGGGGAGTTGAGAAGAGAGGACATTTTTGCATTGATAATGTTGACCCTGGGAATGCAGGGTCCAGCCCCCAGTCCAGGTCTCCATATCAGTTTTCCTCCTTGCATGACGCAGACCGTAAACACCTCTGCCTTCTGTGCTCTTGCCTCTTTCTCTTTTGGTCCTGTCCCTCTCTGATCCTGGCATTTTGTGAATCGCTCATCTTTTGCAAAGCAGAAGCCAGTCAGAAGCCAAGTGTCTTCTGGGCCATGGTGTTCATGTATCAGCGAGGACATTGGCCTGGGCAAGGCATAGGAAGAGACCATGGCTGAATGTCAGGGAAAAAAATGGGTTTCCATCTTATTCAATAACTTAGTTTTTATTTTGAACCTCATTCTCTCAAGAGAGCTAAAGCTTAATCTCAAGTCCAATCAGGGTGTCCTTGTGGAGAGAGAGCCGTAGATTCTTAGGTATGCCAAGGATCTTCCTGTTCCACAAAGAATCAGATTTTGAAACTCAAAAACTGAGTATCTACAGAATAATGTAGCTGCCTGATATGGAAAAGACTCAAAGGGAATGGGACCAGCGGGTGGTGTGGTGGTTAAGGCGCTGGACACTCCCACATGGCCCACCAGGGTTCGAGTCCTGGACCTGGTGGCTTGCTTTCTCACTTTCTCTCTCTCACTCTCACCCTCTGTCTCTCTCTGGTCAAATAAAAAAAAAATCAATGAATAAATAAATAAATAATAAAATAGTTATTAAAAAAAGACTCAAAGGGGAAAGGAAATACCAGAATAAAAAGTAAAATGTTATTTCTAAATAGTACCCTGTTATGTGTTATCTCATTTCCTTCTCATTTACTAACTCAAGAGTGTGGGCGCCCCGGATGTTCTTTTTTTGAATTCACTCAGATGCCTAATTTAGAAAGGTCAGAAATGCTGGTACAATGAATGGGGCAATTTTTTTTTAACTATAAATATGCAATACTAGGGATAGCCTTAAGATAGTCATTATAATCTTCAGTTAAGATGCAGTAGCCAGCATACATTTTAGCCTCTAGGCAGTATGGTCGCATTTTTTAGTCATTTATGCCAGATTTGTTTGTTTGTTTGTTTCAAAAAACACAAATCAAGAGCCTACTGTTTAGCAGCAGGAGCAAAGGCCTAGTGGCCTGGGGTCCTGGTGTAGTCGGTTTTTCCTGGAGGATCAACTCACAGGGGCAGTGGTAAGAACTGATCCTGGAGAACGAGCAGGAGCCGCTTCACACAGGCCTCTAGCACCATCTCATGGCACGTTCATTTATCCTGGGACCCTTAGAAAGAAAGGGAAGGATTTTAAATAGGTCGGTAAGAATTAACTGCAGGTGACTAACATGGCTTCACTTGTCTCTGAAGAATGGATTTATAAACAATCAAGAAGAGGGTCTAGAACCTCCCATTTAGACTTTGCAAGTACAATTTGGCCTCACAGACATTTGGATAGTAAAACACGGCTGTCGTGAAGACCATTGTGCAATCATGGTTGTAAAAACCCTTTGGAAGTGGTCCAGGACTGCACCGGACACAGAGGACAGAGTTAGATCAATTTGAAGAAGGAAATGCGGCCTGCAATTTTCTTGATCGTTTTTCAATGGAACTTACCAGAGGCTGTATTTTATTCTTTATAGCAGGATAATACTAACTATTCAAGGAAATGCTCTCCTTGGAACTAAAAGAGGCATGCGTTTGTTCTCTGGTCCCTCCCTAAGACCCAAACTAACCATCACAGCCACCTCCCCTAACATAGGCATCCTCTATTCACCATCCTCATCCCCACCAGGACGAGCTGTTGTACCTTTGCTAGGCGCATGGCACTACTTGGGGCTAGGGTGGGAAGCCTGGTATCCCAAATGATGTGGCACTTTTCTCGCAATGCTTGGTGTCTTCCAGCTGAGCAGCAAGGTGTCCCAGTGCCAATATGCAATGCCGAGGCCCGGGCCTATGGGCGTGAAGGTGGGTCTGGGTCACTATGTTTTCTGAACACAGTGGCAAAGAGCCATGCCAGATAACCCCCTGAGCAATACATTCCTCACCCAATGTGTCTCCTTCTGGTGCTCTGTTGAACCTCCACTCACCTACATGCCACAGTGTGGGCCTCACTGAGCAGAGTGCAGAGGGCCCTGGGTGTGGAAGGCAAGGGCTGTCCAGGCTGTGGCCACTCCCCATACTGCTCCCATTGCTGACCTCATTAATACAACACGGCTCTCTTTTCAGCATGGCCCGAGCAATGCTGTAGAACCCTCCACAGCATGCCAGGGAGCCACTACCCATCTTGTGTAGTTGGCACCAGAGACAACCTTAACCTACTAGTCATGAGCATGGGGTTGTGGTGTTGTTCTGCTCAGACAGTAGAGAAGACAGAGAGGAGGAGAGGAGGCTGAGATAGGAGGGAGGAGGGCGGGACTTGCCAGTCTACCTGAGGCTGGAAGTCGTCCATGGGTGATGCTGGCTGGAGAACAGTCTGGAGTTGCCAGATCCGTCTCGCACTGTGCTGTCTTTCTCTCCTTCCCCTCCCTTATCTCCTCTTCCTCCTCCCCTATCTCACCACCTTCTCCTCCCTTCTCTCCTCTCCTCTCCTCTCCTCTCCTCGTGAGCAGGCAGAGCCCGCCAGCAGTCCCCACTGTGCCCACTCTCGCTGTTCTCCTCCACTCTCTCTCCCCATGAAGGAAGAGACCACTGGAGTTTGCATGTACCCTCCAATCAAAACGAGGCTGGTAGGTACCCTGGCAGGGAGAGGGGCCTGGCCAGAAGAGGTGAGATGGGCAGGAGCCACCAGGAGAGCCAGAGTCCCGGATGGATGTGCCCGAGAGCTGGACCTCCAGAAGAGCCCGGTGACAGACGCTCTCACTGCACGCTGGATGCAGACCGTGGCGTCTAGCTGGCCGTGGTCGAACTGGGACACGCGGCTGCCATCCCACCTCTTGGGCTTTAGGTTTCAAGAACCAGGAAAAGTTGGTTTTCCTAGAACTTTAATGAGCATAAATGCCTTTTCCAGAGAGAACTACATGCTCTGGTACTCACCAGTCCTGGAAGTTACATTGCTGTTGGTCTTCATCTCCTGAACATAACAATGTAATAGGAGTGTTACCTAACATTTGAAAGGAATCACCCATAATCCCATCTTAGCATGTTTTTTCTTCTTTGTGTACGTTTCAATTAGTTCATATTTATTTATCATTTTGCATAAACTATAGCAACCATAACATCTCCTGGTTTTCTCTTCTCACTTAATCCTATGTTATTTCTCTCTTGTTGTCGCGTTCTCTGGCTGTGTATATTCTATGATGTGAGTGGCCCACTATTTCCTAATGCATTCCTTACCGCAGGATGCTTGCTCTAGTTCCAGTTTGTCACTAGTCGAGGGGACGCATACAGGTTTTTGTGGCAGACGTTTTCTTTCCTTAGCCTGGACCGCGCTGGGTTAAATATTGTGACTTTGGCTTTTGCTCCTTTTCTAAAGGGGTTGTACCAACGGCCGCGTCGTCCGAGGACAGTGAATATGCAGCACACGGTCTAACTTCCAGAATTTATTTTTCTTATTCATGGCAGACATAAAATAATCCTTTGAGGTCACTAACGTTGATGTTTCTCTGGCAGCAATAATAAACCGTGTTTTCTGTCTACTCTGTGATGGTTTGAGAATCTTACCTGCAGGTACTTTTCACTCGAGCGCTGTTCTCAGAGCTCTGCGCTGAGCCGTTAGGTAGCACAAAGGGCAGGCACCGCCAGGTTTCCCCCGGGAAGTCCTCTCACCTGAATCTAAAGGCAGTCTGGGACCCATGATGGGAATTGTTAGACGTGAAAGGGACCCAAGAGGTTTGGGGAAAAGGGAGCAGGCTTGGGCTGAACATCTCAGTGTCCATCCCAAAGACGTTGTCATTCCCAGATGGCCGAGACCTGCTCCACCCATTCAGAAAACCTCAGGTCTGCTCTGATCTGGATCTAGTCTAATGTCTTACTCACCCCTTCCTAACTCTCCCTGTAGAGTGGCTCAAGAGCATCAGGGAGTTATCCCAGGGTCCGAAGGTGAGACACAAAGGTCACCGCCACTAGGCAGTGCCATCGTCTGTTGGCAAGTGACACCATGTCATTCTCTGGTAGGTGCGCAGGTGATTTCTGTGCTCTGAGGGCTGCAGACAAAGCTAGTGCCAGAGTCTGTCACCTCTGGGCCTGATAGGCTGTGTCCTAGGACGTGCCCCTGTGACCTCTCAGCAGCCTCTCAGCTACTCCCCACAGCAAAGGAGAAGCCGTTGGAGGCCACCCTGGGCCTTCATTATTTACCTTGATTGTGGCCTTTTGTAGGTCAGGCCTAGGACCCAGCATGTCTGGAAGGCCCACCCAGACCCCAGGGAAGAGAGTTTCAGGGCCAGGCAAGCATGAGTACTCAACAAACACCAGACTGCAACCTCTCCTCCCTGCAGAGCCCAGTCCTGCAGTTCAAGGCCAGGCACAGGGACAGCTGCCAGCAGATACAGACACTCAGGGACTCTTTGTGTGTCTTGCCATCAGTGATGCAGGCTCTGCGGGGGTCCCCCGAATCCTTCAGCCCGGTTTTAAAGGTGCACCGCTAAAGATTTTAAAACTTTGTTTTCTATTCTAAAGCTAATTCCTCGTCTTTCTCTTTTTTGAAGATAAAAACATTCCCGGCTGATACGATGAAGCCGTTTCCTGATCCTTTTACCACAGGGCCGCAGTTTACTGTAAGTAGATCTGGAAAACAGACCTGCATGTTCAGACATGGTTTCTTGGACCTACAGATGGCATAGTGGGGGTGTCACTGGACTCCCACGTAGTCAACCGCGATTTGAGTTCTGGACGCAGTGGCTTAAAACTCACACCAGGCACATGTGCGTGTGTGCCTAAAATCCCAAGAAGAGAATGAAGAAGAAGGGATTGCAACATGGCCCTCCCTCCTGGGGGATGATTTCTTGCTTTCTCTCTCTCTGTCTCTATGGAGACTGCATGTGCCCTATAGAAAAAAGAGATTTCTTTCTCAAAACAAAACAAAAAGAAAGAAACATGGTTCTCTGATGGCTTATCTGCACGGCTTCCTCCGATCACTGTTGAATTCGGTGAGGTTGAGAAGGAGTTAGGATATGGAGTCTGCTGCCTCTTTTATTTCTTTTTTATCTGATTTGATTGAGGTGAGATTTACATAACATTGTCTATTATTTACTTGTTTACTTATGATTAGTTTTTGCTATAAGAGTGTGTGTGCTTGCCAGAGAGAGGAAGTGAGAGATCATCCCTTGCCCCAGGAAAGTGACCATGCCATGGTCCCTTCTCTATCCTCCTCTCATGATGCTGGGCACACATGCACACACCTGGCATGTTTTTCAAGCCACTGGATCCGGGACTCAAACCACATAGTCAGCCATGTAGGATTAGCCACCTTAACTACCCTGCCACTGGCTGGCCCAAATTAACCCTTTTAAAGTAACAGTTCAGTGGCATTTAGTACAGTAACCATGCTGTGCAATGATCAACTCTATCTAGTAGCTAGGTCCGATACATTTTTATCACCCTGAAAGAAAACCTTACACCCAGTAAGCAGTTACTCCTCATTTTCCCATTGTCCCAGCCCCTAGCAATCACCAATCCACCTAGATAATCCTAGATTATTTCTATGGATTTACCTAGTCTGAATATTTTATATAAAGTATGTGACCTTTGGGTCTGGCTTCTTTCATTGAGCATAACATCTTTGAGTTCATGTCCATTGTAGCATGGATAAATCACTTCATTTCTTTTCATGGGGGGAGTAATATTCCATCGTATGTAAGTACTTCCATTGTTTATCCATCATTTATTGGTAGGAATTTGAGATATTTCCACCTTTCGGGTATTACAAATAGTGCTGTTATGAACATGCATGTTTGAAAAGCTGATTTCAATTCTTTGGGGCAGTATGTGCTTTGATAATGGTGTGAATTTTGGTAAACCAGTCATTTCACCATCTCCTCTTATTTAATGTAGAGATAGGGGCCAGCAGTTATATAGTGTAGTGGTTATGTAGCTGGACTCCCACATGGTCGACCATGGTTCGAGTCTCAGGCCAGGTAGCTTCAAACTCATGCCAGGCACATGTGCATGCATACCCAAAATCCTAAGAGGAGAGTGGAGGAGAAGGGGTTACAGCATGGCCATTCCCTTTGAGGGGTGATTTCTCACTTTCTGTCTCTCTGTCTCTCTGGTGAGCACACATACCTTATAGCAAAAATCTTGGGACCAGCAGTTGGCGTAATGGCTATGTTGCTGGAATCCCTTGTAGTCGACCATGGTTCGAGTCCCAGATTCAGTGACTTAAACTCACCCTGGGCGCGTGTACATGCGTGCCCAAGATCCCGAGAGAAGAGTAGATGAGAAGGGATTGTGTTGTGGCCATCCCCCCTGGGAGGTGATTTCTCGCTTTCTGACTCTCTGTTTCTCTCTGTCTTTCTGGCAAGTGTACATGCCCTATAGCAAAAACCTCTCAAAAAATAAAAAATAAATAAATTGATTAAAAAAAAAAAAGAAAAAAATCTCTCCAAATAAATAAAGTGGAACCACTCAGCCCAGATGGTAGTACAGTAGTAAAATATCATGCTCTATAAAACTGTCTTACATGAGAAGGTTTCCAGTTTAAGTCCAGGGATCTCTCTGAGTACGCCAGGGATACACATGTGCAAGATCTGAAGACAGGGTGGACTGTGGCACTGGAACCCTACTGGGGGTGCTCGCTGTCACTCTCTCTCTCTCTCCACCCCTCTTTCTCTGTATCTCTCACTCATAGAAGAAATAAATAAACTTTAATAAATGTAAAGTTAAATAGTAATAACAGTATCCTCCTTATATCCTGTTGAGGACGGATCAGAAGAGACCAAGAAGTTGAAGTGCTTTTCCAACCACAGAATATCCCACACATGCCAGTGATGACTGTTGTTTGTGGCAGGGTGGTGTCATCCTTATGAACAGATAGTCCTGAGTGACTCCGAACAGGAAGAGGACGAAAACAATAACTGTCCGTGACGCCTGAACCAGACTCTCGGCCACCGTGAACAGCAATGGTCAATATCCAGCACAGCCAACCTATCCCGTGCAGCCTCCTGGGAATCCAGTGTACCCCCAGACCTAGCATCTTCCTCAGGCTCCACCCTGTACTGATGCTCCACCTGCCTACTCAGAGCTCTGTCGTCCACGCTTTGTGTATCCAGGGGCTGCTACAGTACCTGTCATGTCAACTGCATTTCCTGGCACCTCTGTATCTTCCTATGACCCAGTCTGTGGCTGTTGGGCCTTTAGGTTCCACAATCCCAATGGCATATTATCCGGTTGGTCCCATCTATTCACCTGGTTTGGCAGTACTAGTGGAAGGAGACTATGATGCAGGTGTCGGATTTGGAGCTGGGGCTACTGCTGGCAACATTCCTCCTCCACCTCCTGGATGCCCTCCCAATACTGCTCAGCTTGCAGTCATGCAGGGAGCCAATGTCCTCGTAATTCAGCAGAAGGGAAACTTCTTCATGGGTGGCTCAGGTGGTGTCTACACCATCTGGTGAGGAACCAAGGCCACCTCTGCCGGGAGAGACATCACGTACCTTCAGCATTTCTCACAATGTAACTGCTTAGTCATGTTAACCTGAAGTTGCAGTTTAGACACATATTATTGGGGTGTCTTTCTGGTGCCCAAACTTTCAGACACTTTTCAAATTTAATAAGGAGCCACGTAATGGTAGCACTACCTCCCTAAAGCATTTCGAGGTAGGGGAAGTATCCATTCATAAAATGAATGTGGGTGAAGCAACCGTAAGGATCTTCCTTTAACTCCTCTGGAATAATACTGTACCATACTGATCTTTGCTTTTAGTAATAAAACATCAAATTAGGTTTGAGGGAACTTTGATCTTCCTAAGAATTAAAGTTGCCAAATTGTAAAAAAATATATATAGTCCTGAAAGCCAGCTTCTTGTATTTGCCTCTCTTGGTGTGGCTGGGCTGCTTACGTAGATTTTGCAAAATGCTTAAACGTTTTAAAATATTTAAATATTGTAGTCTCCTCATCTGCACAATGAGAGAGTTCAATGATTGTCATGCTTCGTTGTGGCTGCTCAACTCACTTACACGAATGCCTCTGCAGAAGCTTCTATCTAACCAGCGGCTACGTGGAGAGAAGCGGAGAGTCTGGGGTTCTCTCCTTCCTCTCACCCTCTCCTCTTCCCAGGAATCAGTTTGGAATTTCTAGAACTGTGTGATCACTGAGGCTCCTTCAGAGGGGTCCCACCTGAAGGATCTATGAGGTGGCCAAGGTTTAGCTATGAATGGGTCTCACATGCTGGGTGATGGTCACTACCCTGAGTGACTTCAGCCACATGGAAAAAGAGGGAGTGAGCAGAGGCTGATTTCATGTCAGAGGATGAATAGATGTGGGGAGGTGTCCATCTATCCAGGAAGTGAAAAAAAAAAAAAAACAGGTTCCCCGAGCAATCCATTTCTAGGGTCATGAACTGTTCCTAGCACCTGCCTTTGAGGAATGAGAGGAAATGGGGTCTGAGCCAAGATGCCAAATGTGTTGCCCCAACACTCATCCTGACCCCTGCAGTTTTGTAGGACACAACTCCCCAGCTGGAAGCTCCGGCTCCACTTCCCTTAGTTGGCCATGGTGGGGCACTCTGGCCTCCTGCCCAGTCTTGGCAAGGCTGGGAACCACTTGGGAAGACCTTCCTGAAAACCGCGGGCCAAGATGGAGCAGGAAGCCAGTGTCAGAAACCATGCTGAGACTTTTAAGAACTGGGCAAGAGTGGCTTGAAGACAGCTGGAGCAGGCAGAGGGAACAGAATGAACAGAGTCCTGGGGCAGGAAGGGTCATCACACATCCAAGGGACTAAAAGAAGCAGAGAGTTGAGTGGGCGGGAGAGGAGGAAGGGGACTAGGCATGAAAAACACCCTAGGGGTAAAACCATGCTTGGCTTTGCAGGCCACAGTAGGGATGCTGATCTTTATCCTAAGAGCAATAGAAAGTCATTGGAGGTCAGCAAAGAGGCAGATATATTTGGAAAGGATCCCAGTGGTCACAGTGGAAGAACAATTGGGTCCAGGCAGAGTGGACTCAGGACAAGAATCTAGAAATCGAGGACAGTGGTTAAAGGGGAGAAATGACAGAGAACTTGACCCAGAGTGCTTTGGTGGAGGAGGTGGAGAGAAGCACACAGGTTGGGGAGATAATTTAGAAAGTTGGTAAGGTATTGCATTGGATGAGGGAGAGGGAAGGTCAAAAATGTTTTTTCAGATTTCTGAATTGCAAAACATGACTGGGCAGTAAGATAAGGAAACTTGAAAGAAGATTGGATTGGGAGGAAGGATGAGTTGACTTTGGCCATGATGCTTTAGAAATGCCTTTGGGAACCAGCAGTTGGTATAATGACTACGTCGCTGGACTCCTATGTAGTCGACAGCGGTTCAAGTCCTAGACCCACTGGCTTAAACTCATGCCGGGCGCATGTGCGTGTGCGTGCCCAAAATCCTGAGAGGAGAATGGAAGAGAAGGGATTGCTGTGTGGCCATCTCGCCGGAGGGTGATTTCTCGCTTTCTGTCTCTCTCTGTCTTTCTGGCGAGTGCACGTGCCTTATAGCAAAAACCTCTCAAAACCAAAAATGCCTTTGAAATGTCAGGTGGAAACATGAATGGGTAGTTAAACGTCTAAGCCTATAGCTGAGGAGGGAGGACTAGACTGGGGAAAATGACTGGGGAGTTACCGACAGCTGGATGATATCGGGAGCCAAACTCATGGGTCTCACGTTTCTCACCTTTGTGTGTCACGTGTCTTCTTTCTGCCGTGGTTAAGACACTTGAACTTGCTGCAGGGTTAGCCTCTACAGCGACCTCCCGACCTGCCTGGTCACAGTCCTGGAGAGCTGACAGCTCCAGGGAACTCTGCACAAAGTTGGTCTGAATGTTGATCTAACATTTACTTCGGACCTGGTTTCAACAACTGGGCTTCCTTGAATCTAAAATCAATTTCTACCTTGTATTTAAGCCTATTAACTATTAACTGGGGCTCTGTGATACTCATCCAAGTATATTGGTTCCTCTAAGATGAGGGCCTCTGCTTGGCTCCTGCCAGATTTCTGTCCCACATTCCTGAGTTTATCCTTCTGTACCTGCCTTATTCCAGTGAAACTTCATTCATTCATTTCCTCATTCAGCAAAGAATTAAAAAATGGCTACTCTGGGTCAAGATTTAATAATACAAGCAATTGTTACTACTTCTTCAAGTTTATTCCTTAAGTGAAGCTGTCTCCCTCCTCCCCCCTTTGAGTGCATGGCAGTGAAGAATGCAATGTCTGCTAATACAGTTTGGTGCCACTACCTTGATTTGTACCAAGACCCCAAACCTTTTCCTCTCATTACCTTTATACTATCTGTGCAAATTTCCCTTATTTTAAAAGAAAGATGAAAAAATACTGTGGTTTGGGGGCCAGCAGGCAGAGTGGTGGTTGAAGCACTGGACTCTCACATGGCTGACTGCAGTGTGTGTCCTGGACTTAGTGGCTGGCTTTCTCATTTTCCCTCTCTGTCTCCTTTTCTCTCTGCCTCTCTCTGGTCAAATTAAATAATAATAATAATAATAATAAAGAAGATTAAATGAAATAATTCTTAAAAAAAAAATACTGTGGTGGGACCAGCAGTTAGTGTAATGGCTATGTCTCTGGACTCCCATGTAGTCGACCGTGGTTCGCATCACGGACCCGGTGACTTAAAACTCACGCCGGGCGTGTGTGCATGCGTGCCCAAGATTCCGAGAGGAGAATGGAGGAGAAGGGATTGCAGCGTGACCATCCCCCCTGGGGGGTGATTTCTCGCTTTCTGTCTCTCTGTCTCTCTCTGTCTGTCTGGTAGGTGTACGCACCCTATAGCAAAACCCCCCCCCCCCCCGCCAAAAAAATACTGTGGTTTGAACCCCAACCCTGGCAGTGTGAAAACATGTTGGGCACATATGCATGCATGCCCCAAATCCCAATGGATGGAAAATTGGAGGGGAAGGGATTGCAGCGTGACTGCCCTATTGGGGGTGCTTTTTGGCTCTCCCTCTTCCTCTGTCCTTCTGTCTCCTTTTGGTGAATATATGTGCCCACTGGTAATTAATAAAAAAAGGGGAAAAAAAGATATATATA